CCCATGCTGGCTGAGGAATTCTGGGAGTTGAAGTCCACGAGTCATGAAGGGGCCAAAGTTGCCTACCCCTGCCCAAGACAGATGAACCAATGAGCGCATCGAAGCATCTTTACAATAACAGAGCCATTATCTATTGACCTCCCCAAATAGTATCATGAGTCCCTCAACCCCCACCCGCCCCAGCTTACCTAGTTCAGTAAAGGAGCTAGTCCTTAATTTTTGAGCTTCGTTCACGATTCCTCTGCAGATCTTTGTTTTTTCCCACCAGATCACTTTTCTTCCAGCAGTTCCATTTCCCAAAGCACTCCTAGCTTCTTCCTCTTGTGTATTTGAGAAAAAGCTCAATGTCCCATTTTTCAACCTTTAGGTTTTCTCCATATTACAAGCATTAAGAAGCCATATATACAAACACAAGAGTTACGGCATGGGACCCCTGTCAATCTCATTTTGCAACAGTGGCTGTGTGTGTATATTTATTTATTTAATTTGATTATTTTTTTTTGCTGGCCATCTCACTTCGAGGCGACTCTGTGCAGCTTACAACATTAAAAGGTTTAAAGCCGTAAAACATAAATGTATATAATGTGTACTGTAAGGCCTACACCAGGGGTAGGCAACCTTGGCTCTTTTATGACTCGTGGACTTCAACTCCCAGAATTCCTCAGCCAGCATGGCTCAGCTTGGAAACCTCTCCCTTTCCCCTCAGCATGGCTGGCTCAGGAATTCTGGGAGTTGAAGTCCACAAGTCATAAAAGAGCCAAGGTTGCCTACTCCTGGCCTACACCAATAATAAGCCCTAGCTTGATTTTTGGGGGTGGGCCTAATATAAACCCTACCCCCAGAAATAAGCCCTAGTTTTGCGGTGAAGCGCACACCTAAAAATCAAGCTAGGGCGGGGGTGGGGAGTGTGGAGCTGCCCCACCCACCCTGCACCCACTTACCTTGCAGCCAGGCCTCTCCTTGCAGGCCCACTTCGTCTCCCAAGGCCTCTTCTGCACCCGGGCCTGCATTTCTCAGTCACGGACCTTTCCGGAAGGCCTCTGCAGCCGAGAACTGAGCTATGGACTCAATCCGTAGCTCGGTTCTGCAAGACCTCAGCAGCCGAGCCCCAAGCTGTGGATTGAATCCATAGCTTGGTACTCGGCTGCTTAGGCCTTCTGGAAAGGCCTGACTGCAAAATGCAGGCCTGAATGCAGCTGCAGAACTTCGGCCCCAGAAGAAGTGGACCGGCTAAGGTGGGGCTATCGGTGCCGGAAGTGAGGTAAGGCCTACTCCGAAAATAAGACTTGGTGCCTGTTTTGGAGGCAAAAAATAATAATAATAAGACCCTGTCTTATTTTGGGGGAAACGCAGGTATGTATATAGAAGTAGTCCTCGACTTACAACAGTTTGTTTAGTGACCGTTCAAAGTTACAAGGGCACTGAAAAGAGTGACTCATGACCGTTTTACACACTTAACGACCATTGTAACATGATCAAAAATACTTGGCAACTGGCATGTATATATGCCAGTATTTATGAAGGTTGCGGTGTCCTGGAGTTGTGGGATCCTTTTTTGCGAACTTGTGACAAAAGTCAAGGGGGAACACACCCAATGTCCGATTCCTCAACCCCCCCCTTACAATTTCCCTGCTTGATGTTGTAGGCCGGAGTCGGACAGGGGGAAAGAAGCGCCCGTCAGCCAGGAAGCAAATTCAATTTTTATTCTGCCATACATATTTATATTTATTGGGCTCTCAGTCGAGCCCAGACTTTGATATACAAGGTAGAAAGCAAAAAGCTAGGCTTATTTGACCCCTAAAAAGGCAGATCTTCGGGAGTCTGAAGCAGACCGGGAAATCCACTCGTGTGCAGTCGGGAACTACTACCTCACTTG